CCCCCCAGTCTCAAATTGGGCCATTATTACAAAGTTCCTTCTGCACAACCAATTTTTTGGTGTAGTCACAGCCAATGTCTACTTTACAGGTCATAGGAGAGAAAAAGGAAGTTGTCACAGAGGCTATCACAGGTGATTATGGGTATAGCGTGCACTGTGACCCAGTGTCTTGTGCGCGACATCCCAGTGTTGAGTGAGACCCTTTCGGTTTGAGCTTCCTCTCCCATACCTGATCTCTTCATTCCCAACTTCATTTTTACTCTGCGTGTTGACTGCCCTAAGTTTATTTATTTATTTATTGGAAAATATTTCCCCGGCCTCCCTCTTTCGTTCCAAAGCATATCTGTCCTGTTTCCTATGTGGAGCCAATGCTTTGTTTTTGAAGCATGCTTTGAAAGAAATATTGCTGGAGCGGTAAACTCTTTCAGATGCTTCTCATGGCACATTACCCAGGCAACATGTTTGTTTTGGGGTGTCCATGGAAAGTTTGAGGAGAGTTTATGTTTTAGATACATTGCTATCTAAGTTTCTTTTACAACCTCGCAGTTCATACTTGTTGGTTTTGATGTTTAATTCACTTTCTTTTGAACAGAACGTCAGTGAATACTGGCAGCCGATTCAGTTCATACAAGCTGCAGTTCTAAATGTTAATTTATATAAGCTGAAGTTTTGCATTTAAGTTTAATCATCTTTCTTTCCTCTTATATATCTTATTTAATGATCACTCACTTTTTGGTCTTTTATGCTTTCTGTAGTCTTAGAATCCTACTGCCAGTCCAGAGGTCGCTGCGGCCCAGGACGACTGAGCCACTTTTCCACACCCACGTTGCCCCGCCAGCAGAAACTGAGCTCTTCATTCCAGCCACAGCTGCCAGGCTTTGGCCAGGTCTGTCTTTTTGGCTTTTTTCTGTAATACTGTACAAATTGTAAAAGTAGATAAATGCTCTGTGGTTCATAATAAAAGTATGACCATTTACATGCTTAAAAAAAATAGCCAATAACCATATTCAAATATGGCAAAAATATTGACTCATCATGCGTTACACACATTTATGTCCAATCAAATGCTTTAGAATGAAAATGTCCTATCCACTAATAACACCTGCAACCAACTAGCAAGTAGCAATTTATGACTATGGTATGAACTGCATTTACATTTAGTCATTTAGCAGACACTTTTATCCAAAGCGACTTACAAATGAGGACAATGGAAGCAATCAAAATCAACAAGAGAGCAATGATATGCAAGTGCTATAACAAGTCTCATTTAGATTAACGCAGTACACGTAGCAAGGTTTTTTTTATTTTTTTTTATTATATAATAAATAAAAAGTAACCCAATTAGAATAGAGCAAGCTTTTTTTTTAAAGGGGTCATATGATGCGGCTAAAAAGAACATTATTTTGTGTATTTGGTGTAATGAAATGTGTTTATGCGGTTTATGGTTAAAAAACACATTATTTTCCACATACTGTACATTATTGTTTCTCCTCTATGCCCCGCCTTTCTGAAACGCGTCGATTTTTACAAAGCTCATCATCTGAAAAGCGAGGTGTGCTCTGATTGGCCAGCTATCCAGTGCGTTGTGATTGGCCGAATACCTCAAGCATGTGACAGAAATGTTATTCCCCTTACCATGTTGTGATGCCCTGTCCGGCCGGAGCCACGAGATAAAAACATTAAAACCCATTATAAATGAGGCATTTGTTGCATCCAGTGGGGACATAATTACGGATTATAATGACTTATACTGTCTTTTTACGCGTTGCGTTGCATCGCGCTGCGTAAACATAAAACCATGTCTGCATTTGTGATCGAAGAAATGACAAACAAGTGCTATTCTACACTACTCAAAACTCGCGTTTGAATTGTCAGTGGCAAATTCTTTAAATATGAAAAACGTACTTACAGTCAGAGAGTCAGAACAGCCGGCATGTAGTCTACTCTACCAGGATCAGGAAACAGTCCTCCATAAAATGCGGCAACCACATGTGACGACCCCGGGCTGGACTCCGCTTCGTCCACGGTGAAAGCCGATCCGGCGATCCACAGCGCGAGAGTGCTAGAGTTAGAGGGTCAAATAAAGATGGAAGAAATGTGTTTTTAGGCGATTCTTGAAGATGGCTAAGGACTTGGATTGAGTTGGACAGGTCATTCCACCAGGAGGGAACATTTAATTTAACAGTCAGTGAAAGTGATTTTGTGCCTCTTTGAGATGGCACAATAAAGCGACATTCACTTGCAGAACCCAAGCTTCTAGTGGGCACAAAAGTCTGAAGTAATGAATTTAGGTAAAGGGGTGCAGAGCCAGTGGTGGTTTTGTAGGCAAACATTAATGCCTTGAATTTTATGTGAGCAGCTATTAGTAGCCAGTGCAAATTGATAAACAGAGGTGTGACGTGCATTCTTTTCGGCTCATTAAAAATGAATCTGGATTAATTGTAAAGGTTTGATAGAACTGACTAGAAGATCTGCCAAGAGAGCATTGCAATAGTCCAGCTTGGACAGAACAAGAGCTTGAACAAGGAGTTGTGAAGCATGTTCCCGAAAGAAAGGGCCTGATCTTCTTGATTGCCAGATTTCTGGCTGTTTTTGAAGGAGTTATGGTTGATGTGCCTAACTGGATGGTGAAATTGTGATGAAACGATAGGTTTGATGGAATCACAAGCAGTTCTGTCTTGGCAAGAAATGTTGTTTGTTGGTCTATTCTTTTAGGTATGAAATGTCAGACTATCGTTTTTGTAAATGCATGTTTTAGATTTTGCTGTCTTAGTCCCCTTCTGTTTTCACTTGGATGTTCATCCATATTATAATGGTTTTTAAAAAAGGGAATACGTTGAGACGGGGCAGTTCATAGGGTCTTTCAGTTGCTATTTAAATTGTTGGAATGAAATTGACATTGTTTTGTTTCCTCCCGCTCAGGTCCAGCATTACGGGTCGTGCCACAAGGAGTGGAACGGCAACTACCGGCAGCCACGCCGGCCACAGGCCTTCATCCCGCCCACAGTGCACGGCCCTACCTTCTCGCTTCCCCACGGCAGCCCCACACACTCGGCCGGCCACCTGCCACCTCCCGCCCTCCTCTCCTATCCGCCTTCCGCACCCGTGGCCCACCTCTTGCCTTCGCCGTGCCCACCACCAGCCCCTCGGGCCATCTTGCAGCCCGCCTACAGCCTGGTGCACCATCAGGGCATCAGCATGGGCATCAACCACAGGCTGCTGCCCTCCCCTACCCTGCTCCCGCAGGGCCAATTCAAAGCCCTCTTTCCCCCGCACTCCTATGTGGCGTCACCCGTCTACGCAGGCTTCCCCCTCAGCCCCAGCAAACTCAGTCAGTACCCTTACATCTGAGCTGGAGCCCGCGGCAGCCACGTGCACGCAGCCGGCACTGAGCTGCCACATCTTTCTTTTCTTATGAAGTTTGACAACAGTGATGATGATGATGCAAATCGAGCTTTATAGATATCATGGAACATAAAACAAACAAATGGATGCGTGAGCGAGTGAGTAGATTGAACACACAAACTCACTTTTAATGTGTTTTTGCACATTTGATACAACAAAATCCCTAGTCGTGAGACCCTCGGCGGAGGGCCACAGCAGATCCCCAATGCTATTTTTCGATATTGCCTTCTGACGTGTGTATTAGACTCTCGTTCAAGCCATCGCTGTCGCCTATGTGCGTGCGAGTCTCCTTGTGGCGACCTGGTGTTACCTGTCCGTATTTTTCCGTAGCTCCTCAGTGTTAAGTCTCTTTTAGACCTGTGTTGAAAAGGTTCTGTCACGCTGCATGTCTCTGCATGGGCAAAAACCAATGTTGGACTTCAAAAAAGGGGGGGAAGGCCTGCAAACCGTCGCTTTTCGCCCTCTGTGTATATGTTGTACGACTTGCTGCATTGAATCCATTGGGGTTCAATAAACAGTGCCTTAAAATACATGTTGTTGCAAGTTACCCCGAGTCCCACATGCAGTCATGCGTGTACTGGACTGCAGCACTTGAAAAACTTTCAATCGTTCTTTGTGATTTTTATATTAGGGCTGTTTCATACAGTAGATCTTTGTTTTTTTCGTGCTTGGTGCATTAGCGCATTCGTTGGCTTACATAATCAATACATCGGTGTCGTTTCTACTTGTTTAATTCATCTCTTGGGGTCGCGACGGGAGTTTTTTGTTCAGAAAGCAGATTGGGTGTCTATCCAAATGCGCCCTAATGGTTCTAATGTTTTAAACCAACAACAAAATCTCACTATTCAACACCCGATTGGCTATTTGCGCCAATATTAGACTCATGATTTGCCCTTTTGTACAGGCGAAATGTTTTGTTTGACACCTTAGATGATTTGCGCATTATTTGGAAGCGAAACAGTCCTTTTACGTGTGTTATTTAGAGGTGGATGCATTGTGCTAAGTGGTAGCTGAGCTTGATTCTTTGAGGATAACGTGCTTCGCTGTAGCAGAGGCCGATGAACTATGTATAGAAACGTTTGAGTACTTTCATATTTGATAATCTGTTTCTACTCTAATAGTATTTACACTGTTTAATGAAACTGCAATACAATCCATAGTTTTCGGGGTGTGTTTATCGTTTCTTTCCATCAGTTCTGTTAATTTTAGAGTTAGAAGTGTTATCGGTGTTGGATTTGTATCAGCAGATAGCTCTTTTTGATGATATTGTATGGTTTCATGTTTGCTTTGTGCAGAATTATTCAGTATTGAGTATCCAACTGTAAAGTCTATCATTGCTGGAGTATTCAGTGCTTTATAAGACGAGAGTTGATCGTGTGCAATTTTCTTCATAGATGCATGTGACAAGATTGGATTTTGTATTCCCTCTCTCACAATTTAATTGCTTTTTTTGATGCTGTTTTTATTTCATACATTCCGTCAGGGAGAAATAGCTTTTTTTTTCTGTGTGAATTCATTTTTTTTTTATTATTAGATTTGAGTTTTTCCATTAGGTGCATTCTTTCATTATGCTTTCGCTACACCAAAGACAGTCATCCATTTCTTAAGCAGAGTAGCTACTGTTTTAGCGTAGACCTCGAACGTAGTGTAGTTGAGGCCGTATTTAACAGAAAATCTTTGTAAAAATGTTGAGGTTGATGTTTAGCTTTTTCGGTCAAGTTATGACTTTGTTTCATTTATTCTTGAATGTATCATAGATAAGCTGCTATATACTGATTGCCACTTCATAATAGCTGTGAAATTAGATGATTAACTTTGTTCTTAGCCTTCTTATTTTTATATATGTCTAATGACCTTGAAATAGAAGTGAGATTTTTTTTTTTTTTCCTTTTCCGTTTGTTTGTTTTTGAGTTTAATGCCTCTCTCTGTTTTGCTTTCTTTTTTTGAAGTGTCATTGTAACTACTGTATTGCAAGTAATGGCGATTTTGGGGTTTTTGTGTGTGTGGGTTTGTATTCTTTTACGTTTCGTTTGCATCAGTGTTTTATCTGTTATCTTAGGGCTAATCTTACGTATTAGATGCATATTGGTGTATATCTATCTTAGTACGTATATTTGCATTTTGTTAAAGCATAGCTTGCAGGATAGATTTAACTTTTTGTTTTAAGTATCAATATAAATTCTGTATTCAATGACCCACTTATATCACCATTTCAGACTATTAATTTCAGTAATGCTATTAGCACTTGCTACTTTTGATAAGCTAGCCAAAATTGCGGGTTTGGGCGTCTCATCTCAGTAACTGCAGTGCTTAGAATTTTTTGTTTTTGTTTAATTTCCCCCCTTATTATTATAATTGTACATGAAATACACACATGAAGTTGTATCAGGTATATTAATGTGTTTAGAAATGAAAAAACAAGGCAAAATGCAAGTTTTGCTTTTTAAAACGGACCGTTCTGAGTTATTAGGGCATCCGTTCTCATTTTGTGGGCTCTCATTATATGGGTATGTTTGTTCTCGCATCGGTCCCTGCTCTTTAAAGCGAGCAACACTGCGTTAGTGCCTTTGAAATGTGCTTCAGACCTTTATATCCCTTCTACAAACACTGCCGGCCAGCCTCTTCCTCTCTTTCATGCCCCCTCGGACGGCATGACCGAGGAATGAAAGCGTAACTGCAGTGTTTGATAGTCGTAACTGAAGTGCTGTTACCAACCAGTTGCTTAAAAGTAGACCATAATCCACGGTAGACGTCCTGTCAGATGTTGATAACCTGAAAACCAATAGCGCGAGTCATGCAATGCAGTAATCACCTTTAAGGTGGAACATGGATGTTTATTTCTCAAAATTGTGGAAAGGAAATCCAGTCATGCTTGATTAATTTATATCTTTATGACCAACAACAAAAAACAATAATGAAATTATATCAGGGATTGTTATGATTATTATTTTTATGCTGACTAAACACCCAAGACACGGTTTTCTCATATTTGGGGAGCTATACATGATACACTGTGAATGTAAACCACCATTTGTCAAGCAGAATTAACATTGCCTTTTGTTTCACAGGACGTTATCAGAGTTTATTGCTTTAGCGTAGCCGACTTCATGGAGATACAGTCCAAAATATGGTGTGGTTTCTCACATTATGACCCTATATTTTATATTTAGCATGTAGCACTAGAGATGAGTACTAAATTGCTACTCATGCACACACATTATATGAATTCACTGCATTAATTCACTGCAAGTAAACATTTCAGAGATGGTTTCATTCTAAAAAGGTCTACCAAACCCAACCTAATAAAAGAGTGAATCTTAGCACAATTGCTATGGACTGAGGGATCTGCAAACTAAAGTTGAAATGTCTTTGAAAATCCCAAACCAAACCGTTTTTATTTTTCTTTGATTCATGTTTTTCTTTTAGAAGTTATTGTACAGTTCATTCAGGGTCCTTGTATATGTCATATGTGCTACTGTGTAACACTTGCCGTAAGATTTGGGTTGGATTGCTTTAGATCTATTTTTAAATCTTCTGCAGATTATATTTTAGTAAAAGTTAAATCTCACTGCAAGTTATCGGTAATATTTAGACTTAAGAGCAAACAGACTTGATTTAGTAAATCTGAACTGTTACCGTTTTCATATTTGTAAAAAAAAATTTTTGTGGCTTTTTGATTTCTGTTTGCTTTTGATTTCTATGCTACATTAGATTGTCATGTAGCCACTGCACTGTGCAATATTCACTATATGAGGACTTGGAAACCTTTTTTGTTTTTTCTTTTATTTTTGGGTGTAATGTCTCTTACAGTTTGCAGTCGTATTTCTCTCTAGTTCTCAGTGATTTATATGTGACCAAGCCTTATGTACTTTGTCACAAAAAGCGGGTTTTCCTGGTGACTATTTGGTGAGTGTCAAATTAAAGAAATGGTGTATTGTCAAAATTCACTTTGAATTAAAATATATATTGCTGCGGGCACACACAGTTTGTTTTGTCTTTATTTAAAGAAATCTTTAAGACGACTTATTTGAGAACATTTTCCAACTTGATGGATATTCATTTGTTCCTAGAAATGTTCATTTCAAATTTCTTATAACACAAAATACAAGGGTTTTATTTTCTGCAGACTATTTATATATTGTCTGTTATATTTACACTAGATGATAATTATATTTAAAATTAAACCACAAATAATATGGTATTAAAAAGTGTACAAAAAAAAAAACCTCGAGTTGAAATTAACGAAATTGCGCCATCATGTGTGTGGAATTCAACTCTTTTTATGACGTCTTATAATGGTTTTTCCGGTTGTTACGTAACAGACACCATATTATAAGCACGCAAGGACACTTATTATGCTAAAACCTTTCTAAAGATTAGGCCTACATGTATTTTAATACCCAGTTTTAATATAAAATCACTTGATTTAAGAAGCAATTCCAGGTCAATTCATGCTGCAGTTCACCTTAAATGTATTCTCCACTTTCATATTTAAAGCATTTTAACTGTAATATTTAACCATATAACGTGAATCCACCGAAAACTGGTCATTTTAAGATTGTAGATATACCAGTATTAAATTCCTTGTGGTAAAATGAACTTTAAACTGTTTTTAAAGGTATAGCAACACCATAAAAGATTGCGTTATTACTTTTATTTAAGATTCCGATTATACGCTTTTCGTAAAGAATTTCATAGAATGACCCTAATAACAGGCTGTATGATGTCGAGGGCCAGAATTGGCACCAGTCATCCTCATGTAAACCCAGCAGAGGTCGTCTTCCTCTTGTACATCAGTCCCTCTAATAAGGCGCCTCATCACCAGTTCGCTTGGAGACGGGATATTTTTTCCCAATCAAAAGCAGTCGATTTTCCGTCGCAGCATCATTGACATAAGTGCGGGATTATAGGATTGCCGCTGCTGGATTCCTATGCAGAATATGCTTTAATGAAGCACGATGGATAACCTGCTCCAGTAACGCGCGCGTGATTGATGTGGATGCTTCTGAATGCGCTTTGCAGACGCATCGCCTTAAAGTTTCAATGCTGACATAGAGCAGAAAAACAGCGGAGAGAAGACCTCAGTCTAAGGAACTGGAAAGGATAGATCAAATGTCTTTTTCGGGACCTTTCGGCCTATTGCTGAATTTATCTCTAGCCAGATGGCCCCAAGAAATGCGCGTAACAATTTCTACATTTTGGGCTCCAGTTGCGGGAATGGCAACGCTGGAACCCAAGGCATGTCGGAATGGATAGGCTTGTCCTTGTGCCGAAAATGTGTTGACTTGGACGGAGTGTGGACCAAGTGTCTGATATCTGTTGGAATTACATTGCTCCTGGTGCCGTCCATATTTGCCATAGACGGTGAGATATATTTTGGTTGATTTTGTTGACAACCTGTGTGAGTGCCCAGGTTCCAAACATTTCCCCCCAAAAAGGTTCTTTTGTTTACGTTTCATTTCTGAAACTGTACGTTTGGATTTCAATTGAGAAATGCGAATAATTTCAATTGAACTCTATTGTTTGGAGGCTTTAATTGTTCAACGCAATGCGGGATCTAAACTGGCCCTCTTATGAATTCGTTCTTTTAAAGAATCGTCTAGATTTAGAGAGACGGACCGTGCATGTTTGGATATGAACCGTTTGTGTGTTTGTTTTGTCTGCGATGTGTTCCGTCTCCTGTGGCCGTCTGCGAGCAAAGCAGCAGAAGCAAACAGACACGGCAGAACCTCTCAGACAAAAGCAAGATGCAGGTAGCCCTACATCACTCTAAAGCGCTTGTGTATAGACAGCGTCTGATCGCGGCATTCAGTGCTGCAGTGCCGGGCGCTCTGTGTTCGCTCCTCAGATAGATAGATACACATATATATATATATCCTATATAAAATTCATTTGCAGTTCTTGGTGATTTTGCGCACTCGCAAAAATCACCAACGGCTGAGGGAATATGGAAAAGTGGCTGAGGTGAAGGAATTTGGAGGATTTGATTGGTCCAGTGACTCGAATCTTTTGAATTGCCAAAAAGATTCATCTCAAAACTCCGATTCGTTCAGGAAATGTGCGTATTCGTTCAGTAGGGCCAGACAATGAAATATTGCTTTACAGCCCGAGCTGGAATTCTATTGGCTCCTTCTGGTCTTCTGCTTAAAGGGAGAAATATCAGATTGTTTTAACAATGGTTGTTTGGTCAGAACTTGAGTTCAGTTCTAGGCTACATCGCTTTTCACATTAGTTTTTTGTTTCTGGGTTTAAACCACTAAACGTGAGCAAGGCCGTTTCTAGCCAATCTGATGCCTTAGGCGAAATCCCCTATCCCTATCCCCCCCAAAAAATTATATATATATATATATATATATATATTTCTTTTCAGACACCAGTTGCTTGTCACATTCAAATAAAACTACATATAAAAGCTTTATCAGTGGCATAAAAGTCAACTTAATCATTTGCTACTCGTTAACGCGTTAACGTCCCCTTTAAATAACATAACGCTCTGCCCTCTATGACGCTGCTCCCATTAAGCGCTGTTGGAAGTGAATGAATTGATTCAGCATTTCGACACCTCCGTAAGGATGCATTTAACTCGACAAAGTGGTCTAATAAAGGATGTATTGATCTCGTGAATTAGCTAATTTTACTATACAAATATTTTTAAATTGGATGTTAAAGTTTATATGGGAATATTACATGACACGCTGATCCTTTAACAATGCATTGGCACAAAAAACGCACACCTTTTGGACAAATGTGCCACAAATACTGCCTAAACAAAATACTGATTTTGTGCTCTTTATTTACTGTACCAATATTTTAAATTGTACTTTGAACATAGCTTTATTGCATGGCAAAAAAAAGTGTTACCTTGCCAAAGCACTGACAGAGCCCACTGATCTAATGGCGTTGTTGAGCACTCCAAATGCAAACTTTGCATGCAACAATCAGGCAGCAATTGACAGAACTCTGATCTAGTGGCATACAGGCATCGTCAGATTGACAGTACTCAGTCTAGCCCAATAATGTTGGGCGATCCAGTGGGGGCAGTCATATTTCAGGGTGACCGTGCCACTCTTTATCACAACCCTGCTAAAAAGTGCCAGTACGTGCGCTCATTGGCGCCCCTTCAGCTGATGGCGCCCTAGGCGACCGCCTAGCTCGCCTATGCCTAGAAACGGCCCTGAACGTGAGTACCAAAGTGAGTACTTGCGGCCACTGTTTACAACTGGTAACAATATTTTAATGTTTTTGTTGCGCTCGGTTCTGCAGAAAATCTAGGCCGTCACTTAACGGATTGCTTTTACATACAACGCAAACCATTCCCAAGAAACGTTCACAGCAGTTACATTACGTCAAAGGACTCAGCAGCACACCAAAACCACTAGTGCGCCATGTGAAGAAAAATAGTGTATGAAAATGCACGAGACCAATTAGTTCAATTAAATGCAGGGTAGGTGACTGATTTAGTTAAAAAACATTTTTTGTTATGCTGGTTGAAAGTCTTTTCACATCCATATAGCAGTCAAGTTAAGTGGTTAAATCTATTTATTTGTATTTATGTTGTCTGTGGAAGGCGTAGGACTATAAAATGTTCGACCAATCAGATTATTCAGTCCGAACATTACGATAGGCTTTCCTACCTGCCTGTCAACATGTGTATTTGCATACCTCTGCCCACCATTGGCATTATTATTAATATTGTGCGCTCTGTACTGCCGTCTCTCATCGCTGGTTAGCTTCTGGTCTGCCTGTGCGCGTTCATGTGTTTTGGAGGAGGCGTGGCTTTGGAGAGTGATTATGCAGGGAGGGTGGGATCTTATGCTTTCAAAGCCAGCTTGCTATTGCTAGCCTTTAAATGATTTATTCAACTACAAAAACGTTTCGGTTCAGATGGCAACTGAACTGCAATTATAGTATGTTGCTGTTATTCTTCTTGAAAACTAAGACAAGCCAAGATTTAAATTCAAAATCGATTTTTTTAACCATAGGCCTAGAACAAAATTCTCACAATGTTCCAGGGACCAAGAAGTGTTAACTGTGTCAAAAAATGCATAGGAAGGGGTCTTGTGATGATTCGTTTCCACAGTTATTAACTTTGTAAATCTGTAAATCTTTTATATTTTCATTCTTAAAAAAAGAATTTTAAACACTATACATTGTGTTAAATTACAGCCATTAAATTCCAGAAAATGCTTTAATGCTGTTGTGTGGGTGTTTCCAACACAAGGGCTGAGGGAGTGATGGCAACTTTGACATCTTTCTCTCTTCTGATCACCATAATCAATCTCTATAATATTAGTCATAGAAACACTGTTGAGGATTTTGTCTTTTGCTTTTGGGTAAAATGAGAACACAAAAAGTATATTTGTTGTGGTTTCCATTCACGATTATAAAAGTTTCAACGATTTTCACTTCTGAGAACCCTGGAAGTGTTAAAAGCATCAATTAACCAAAAAAGTGAAGATATGGCCATGGAATATTTCAGGTATTGAATTATTTTATTATCTTATTATCTTACTTGTAGAGACTGCGGAGAGACGGAACATCAGCACAGCCAGGTAGAAAACATTGTTTTTTTTCTGATGAGCGGTCAGTTATACAGTGTTATACTGGACAACAGTAATTTATTCATTAATATTTGGCTGCTGACCGATGCAAGTAACCAATTAGAAGCAAGTATTCTAGAGAGCTGTGTAATAATAAGATATCATTTATTTTCAGTCAGTGACGGTAGCAAAGTAGGTCCATGTTGTTGGCCTTCTGCTGACATATCAATTGTTGTATCTATCCCTAATATTCTTGACCTTTGACCCCATCTCCATTCCTCCTCAAAATTATACTCAAGCATAGACATATCTAGTGGTACATTAATATGGCACTTCCAACCCCATTCACTTCTCTACTAATGAAAAGTGTTGCAATATATCAGTAGCCTTTGCCTGAGGACCAGAAGAGCATTTAACCAAAATATGATTGAATTTGTGCAAACAAGTTCAGCGTTGATTATGTGAACGAACTCCAGGCATGACGTCCCTTTCTAAACATCTCGAAACAACACAGATATCAGAAAGGCAGATTCGATTTTCTAAAGCTAGAATTACAAGATAAATACATTTCTAAAGCTAGAATTACAGCAGATTAGTTATATTTGGGCACACAGACATGCATCGGTCTGGACCATAGGCTTAATACACAGAGGTAAAGAGCCTGTGCCTTCTCATTCATAAAACCGCCATTGTCCTTTTGGCTTTGAGCTGGGTCTATGGCGTATGGCCAGACACACTTGTGGCTTGCTGAGGATGAGGCATCTCTCCTCAATGCCCCTACAGTGATGCTTCCGCTAGTCAACAGGAGCCTGCTGTGCTATGTTGCCATGGGAACCGATCTCCTTTTTTATTTTTTATTTTACTGGTGTGGAAAGAGTGAGTGTATTAGCAGAATGACAGTGATTAACTGCTCAGTTTGATTTTCAAAGGCCTTTTTGTGGCCTCAGACCTGCAGTGACTGGATTCAGCAATTAGTTGAACAGAACTAAACTGGATTCATGCTTTAATTGACTATTTTGTGGGGATGGTTTTTTTTGTCACCTGTCAGTTGAAAGGTTGTGTGTAACCAGGAACCAAAGCCCAATTTTAATGGAGTAGGCATAGTGTTTTTGCCCCTGTGGTCTGGGTGTAATTATTATAGCTGGAGAAGCAGGTCTCTCAGTGCTCCTTAAGAATTTTGTTAGATGACTCGCATTTAAAAACACGGACCAGTCAATCTGATCCTCTCAAAATGTTTGAAGCATTACTGCAAAACCCATCTGTTCACCCTCAAGAGGAGAACTGCGTTAAAAAAAAACATGCAATGACAACAGCAGGAGTCTTTGATTCACAGCCATGTACTGTTGAAATGACTGAGAACAAAGGGAGAGCTTTTTTCATTGTTAATACTGCCATTAATATAGTTTGCAACATAAAAGACTTTAGGTATGGATTATGGATTACATATCAATATTTGCTGAAATCATATGAAGATGGTTTAATGCCAGTATATTATTGTGGGAGATGAGTAAGATATTAAATAGGCATTACAAAAAAAATGGCTTTAGAAATGACAAAAATTATTATTTTCCTATATAATGCATTTTCATATGACTGATCCTGTAATTATCTACAGTATGAAGAGTGCATGTTAAGCTATTTGGGTTTGAGTAATAAGTTTAATACTATTAATAATAATTAAAATAATAATATTTTAATTAATTATTAATAATATAAACCACTATTAATTAACAAATAACATAACTCATAATTCTAACAACCCCTGAAGTTTAATCGCTGAAGTTTAATGCGATTAATTGCATCCAAAATAAATGTGTTTTTTTA